GCAGCTGCACTTCTTCAAACGGTGCCATGCTCCTGAATCTTCAGGCTTCCTACAAGGTAAAGCAGCTTCTCCAAACCTCGTGTGTAGTTGCGTGCGTGTGTGAGTGCATTACTTTCTTCCACTACTATGACAGCACATGCTCCAGCAAAGCCGTTCAAGGCATTAGAAATACAACTCCTCCCTCCAGTGCCCCATGTGTGTGAGCAGCACTTCTTCAAACGGTGCCATGCTCCTGAATCTTCAGGCTTCCTACAAGGTAAAGCAGCTTCTCCAAACCTCGTGTGTAGTTGCGTGCGTGTGTGAGTGCATTACTTTCTTCCACTACTATGACAGCACATGCTCCAGCAAAGCCGTTCAAGGCATTAGAAATACAACTCCTCCCTCCAGTGCCCCATGTGTGTGAGCAGCTCAGGCTTTCTGCTTCAGCTCACTCCCATTTGATCACTGGGCTGACAGTCACGACTTTCTATTCTACACCTCCAGGCTTCACTCTGAGGAAAGAAGGACCAAGAAAAACACAGAAGCAGCCACACAGCTGACCTACAGAGCCATCAATAACTTACTGCCCTTGCAGCAGAATTACAGAGGGGACCGGAGGGGAAGAGAAAGAGGAAAAGGGGAGGGGGAGGAAGAGGAGAAGAAAAAGAAAATCCAGAGAATTCCAGCCTTCAAATATAGCCAAACTGAGAATGAGAGGAGTGTGTTTGCTCTGCAGGAACGGAGAAGAAAGAACAAATTAAATAAACAAAAGCAGGCAAGGACGGGAGCTCGCTTCCCAATAGCAACAATATTATTTTAGAGGCAAAATGATTCCCCCAAGCAACACTGCTGAAGTCAGTGTGGATAATGTGGAGAAAGATAATGAACTGGAGAACACAGATCAGCCCCCTTCTCCAGCATCTACCACCAGCCAAGAATCAAAGGTATTTAATCCATTTGGTGTACATTTAGCAGATTTTACTCTATGCTGGAGCATATTTTTTTAAGTTGAAATACTGAACCAGAATTTAAAGGGTGATTTATTACTGTATTATATGTTTATAATGACCAGACTTCAGAACTCTTGCTATTCATCCGGATGTATCTAGAGTTTGATTGTGGAAGGGGGAGGTTTTGAGATGTCTTTTTCTTAAGAGAGGAAAATCAATCCATTTCAATATTCCTTTATAGACATTTTAATATTTGACATGAGAATAAGTCCAAGGTTTTCACCTGTTCATGGCAGGAATGACTGAATATGTTATAGGATCAGGAAAGAGTTGGTTATTTTCTAACAGATGCTTCAGTGAACTTGGGCATTTCCTTTTAAATACATCGGTATTTTAAATAGGGCCTGGGTGGGGTCATTTTGGGGCAAGACTTCCTACCCACTCTCAATAAGAAAGGCTTTTTCTGCTTCCACCTCTTTTTAATTATCTGACTCAAGATACCTTGCTAAAAAAAAACCCAGTCACTTATCTCTAATTTCTGTGTTCTTAAATGATTTGTGGATTTATTTGCAAAAAGTTTCTGTGTTGACCTGCCCATAATTAGGAAGAGAAAAGTACATAAAACAAAACATATTTCCAAAACAATGGTGCTCTTCTGTTCCCTGGACAATCTCACTATTTATTTATTTGTTTTGTGTATGAAGGGATGCTCCACGGCCTCATTGCGCTAGGTACTGTACAAACACAAAACAAAAAGATGATCTCTGCCCCTAACTGTTTATGTCCAAATAGATATTTGGAAACCACAGGACCTAATGGAAATTGGTTTAGTTGATAAGGGACACATTGGGTCTGGATTTAAATAGCTGGTTTAGTTCACAGTATACATGTATTCTAGTATATCACAATATTCTACAGTAATGATCTGAAGTGCTGTAGCAACAGGGCGGGGGCACCCATGGAGTCAGTGCCTATGGTTTGGGCCATGCTAAAAATATTCTTTGGTACCACAAAGAAAAGAATTAGAGAATTCTCTAAGTAAAGAAGCACAGTTATATCTGAAAGGAAGAAACTGTGCACCATAACTATTCTGCAGTAATAGTTACCCAATGCTATTGTAAACTGTAGTGACATCACTTGAGAACACAGAAGCATTTGTGGAAGAGGTGAAAAAGAGAGAGTTATCTACTGAGGGCACAGCTACACCAGGATCTACCTGGTGGTAAGTGTTGCACAATACTGTCACCCAGAGAATCCGTGGGTTGAAAATGCCTCACAAGGGGCATGTAGCACACCATCCCATGTACGGATGAGGCCTTCTGTGAGGTGCATGAAGGTGTGTGCTGGGCCACGGCTCTTTGGTGCTGTATGGTACTGTCTTCTGGTTAGACCAACCAAATAGTTATAATGCTTTAGGCTCATTCATCTAAACCAGACATGGTTTCTGCTGTGTGCATGAGGTGCTTCTTGGGTAAGTTATGCTGCATGCACAACAAAAATGGACCATTCCAAAAATTTAATTCCAAAAATTAAAACCATACCACTCCCAGATGGTAATGTTAGGCTCACCAGACAAGAGGACATGGTGCTGTGCAGATTTTATCAGTCAATGCAATTATTACATATAAAGACTTAGGTACGTGTAATGTGTACATTTTTGTTTTGAGTATTTTATTTTACATACGATCAGGGAGGACACCTAATTTTCCATTGCATAGAAGAAGTCACTTTAAAAATAGACAGGGAGCTCTTTAGTATTATAAAAATTTGTGGGGAATAAAGCCCCATGGGGCCATATTTCAAAAAGCAGGCTTGAAATGTGCATAAATACAAACTTTTGTATTGAAAAAGGTGACAGCCAAGCAATATTGCAGTACCCGGCTAGTATGTTTTGAGAGGCACAATTTCAGCCTACCAGAAAAGCAGCTGAAATTTGGAGGGACCTAGCAGGCAGGAAGTGAATGATTAGTGAAAATCTAACTTTGTAGCCATGCAAATTTGTGCAAGTGTGTTCAGACATTTCTAATTGGATAGCCTCTCAAAATTGAATCCCATTCCTTATAAGGAAGCATATCTTAATCAAGAGTAAACTGCAATGTCACATACAAATATTCCTCACAAATCCTTCATTGGCTGGTGAAGTACTGTGAACACCATTTTACAGATGAGGAAACTGATGCACAGAAAGGTTAAGTACCAGATTCTGATCCACTTACTCAGGGGTGGGGAATCGTTTCAGACTTGGGGGCAGTGTTCCCTCTAAGATTTTCCATCCATGAGCAGAGTTTTGTCTTGTACTCCAATAATGAGGTCATGTGCTCTTCTTTGGCTGTGTGCCACTGTAGCACCCACCAGAGGCACTGCTCCCCAAGAGACTCTCCCAGGTAGCCCCCTCACACTCCTCATAGGGAGAAAGTGAGATGTGCCCCCCACCCTGGAGAGCGCTGCTCCCTGGGCAGCCTGTGTGCAGGGGAGGGACTGCCCCAGGCTGCTCCTCATGGGGCTGGCTGTGAGGGTATGTCTACACTATAGAGTTTTGTCAGAAAAGCAGCCATTTTTCCGACAAAACTTGAGGAATGTCCACACTGCAATCGCGTTCTTCCACAAGAAAATCAAAAGAACAGAGGGGTTTTTCTGGTGTTGGTAATCCGCATTCTAAGAGGAAGAAGTCTTTTTGTGAAAGAGTTCTTTTGCAAAAAGGCATGTGTGGATGGGGAAGAGGAAGTTCTTTCAGAAGATGAGGAAAAAGCACAGGTGCCCTGGTGGCCATTCCGCCCATAGTAATCACAGCTTACATGTGAGATAGTGTCCATTCAGTCCGGACACTATCTGCTTTTTCAATGCACTTTGGCAGTGTGGACGCACTTTTGGAAGAAGTTTTTTCAGACAATCTCTTCTGAAAAAAGCTTCTTCTGAAAGAAGCCTGCAGTCTAGACGTAGCCTGAGTCCCCACTTTTGGCAGAGGGAAGCTGCTGCCAGCACCCAGGGTTTCTAGGGAGTGAGGTGCTGGTTGTGGGGCAGTGACATGAGGGGAGCAGAGGGGACAGAGGGCTGCAGAATGGGTTGAGAGGTGTGGGAGGGGGGACGAGAGATGCAGGGGCCCCAGCCCCAAGAGCAGCTGCACCACAACCCAGATCCAGCTTTGGGCAGCTGTCACATGGAGTAGTCTGGCAGCCACTGTGTGGCCCTGGAGCTGGCCCCTGGAGCAGCCCCGACCACCAGAGCAACCCCTTCACCATGTAGCCCCAGCTGCTGGGAGCAGCCCCGGCTGCCCGCCACATGGCCCCACCTGGCCACTGGAGCAGCCACCTACCGCCCACCACGCAGCTCCTCTAGCCCCAGCCCTGGCCGCTGGAGCAACCACTTGCCACCTTCAATATCCACCGCGTCACTCACCTTCAAGCAGGCAAGCGAGTGCTGCTGTGTGGCTCTGCAAAGGAGGCAGGTGGGCAGAGAATTTTTTGTGTGCAACTGCACAGAGGCACACCTTAGAGGGAACTATGGTTGGGGGTCACTGACCCACAGTAAAATCAGTTGGGGGCCACACACAAGTGAGAAGCAAAAAAGCAAACCCCTCACTCAAGTGGCCCCCAGCTGAGAAGGAGAAAGACACTCTCCTTATTCCCCTTGCACACCAAAGCCAAGAGGAGTGAGGGACAACCTAGTAGCTGTGGGCTCCAGCTCTGTAGGGAGATGGTGGGGGGAGGGGGAGGACTGAGTCTCAGGGTCATGATCTAGGCAAGCCAGAGGCCACATCCAGCCACTGGGACTTAGGTTCCCCACCCCTGCTTTTACTCCTACTGACTAGTACCTTGATGATTAGTTTCAATAAAACAGAGAAGGGCTATCCTGTTTATGTATGATTACCTGCCCTGTGGCAGATGGCATCTGTGTGCACCCATTGCAAGGAGCTCCTGAACCTCAGAGACCGAGTTCGGGCTTTGGAGGCCAGGGTGGCTGAACTGGAGGAGCTAAGGGAGGCAGAGAACTATGTTGATGAGACTTTCCGGGACACTGTAGTATTGTCCCACCTCCAGTCTGAGAGCCCCAGTGCTCTTAAGGAGAATGAAAGGCTCAGGGGAGCAGAGTATTCAATGGGAACAGAGGAAACCATCCCATAGTTGGGACCCTCCTTCCAGAGGATGTTGCAGTATCCTCTCGCACTAAGGATACCTCTGAGGGGGAAGGAACGCCAGTTGTTAGGAAAAGGCAGGTGTTAGTAGTGGGTGATTTGATCGTTAGAAACATAAGATAGTTGGGTTTGTGATGACCGGGAGAACCGTATGGTCACTTGCCTGACTGGTGCGAAGGTTGCAGCTCTCTCGAGGCATCTAGATAGGCTTATGTGTAGTACTGGGGAGGAGCCGGTGGTCATGGTACATATAGGTACCAATGACGTAGGAAAGGGTAGGAAAAACGTCCTGGAATCCAAATTTAGGTTGCTAGGAAAGCAACTGAAATCCAGGACCTCTATGGTGGCATTTTCAGAAATGCTTCCAGTTCTACGCGCAGGTCCAGGTAGGCAGGCAAAGCTTCAGAGTCTCAATGTGTGGATGAGACGATGGTGTAGGGGAGAGGGGTTTAGATTTATTAGGAACTGGGGACACTTTTGGGAGAGGGGGAGCTTATACAGGAAGGGATGGGCTCTACCTAAACCAGGGTGGAACCAGACTGCTGGCACTGAACATTAAAAAGGCCATAGAGCAGTTTTTAAACTAGGAGATGGAGGAAAGCCGATTGGTGCGGAGAAGCACGTAAATTGGACGGAGACTCCTCTTAGAGGAGAATCCATTGATAGAGATTCTCTAGGCTGTAGTGAGAAAGAGAGGAGGGAAGAGGACAAACAAGGGGCCAGAGCAGACAAACAACCACATAAAAGGAATCTAATACATCAAGAAAGGGCAGACAAATAAACAGTGGCAAATTTTTAAAGTGCTTCTACACAAATGCTAAAAGTTTGACTAATAACATGGGTGAACTAGAGTACCTTGTAT